CTCTCAGGTTTGAAAAATCATGGCCAACATAAATAGTAGTTGCTAGATATTCAGTCATTTTTCCTCCTTCCAATTTGCAATACAAAACTGAGACAAATCATGCCTTTGGAAGGAAAAGTTTGGATAAGGAAAACTTTGGGGGTTTCTGTGAGGTCATTCAGTGATGGATAGAGGGTGTATGAGAAATAATTGCTGCATATGCATTAAAGAGCACCTCCCTGATCACATAGGTGAGTTTTGCCCTTAGGTGAAATGTTCCTATGGTGGTGATATTATTATCTAACACCTAAAATAAGTTAATTCCTAAATGGGCCCTATTGTGCTAGGTAGTTAAGCAACTAAATGATGTGGTTATATCATATGATAACACTTTCCATTCTACTGGTACCTCAGGAGGATGCAAAACAGCAGATATTAAAGTTGTTCATCGATTTTTTGAGTCAGTAGCTCTGAATAACTTGCATATAAGAGTTTTGAAAGAGCTGCCTGAGGAGCCTAGTGGACCATTAATGTCGATTTTTCAATAAGTCTTGGAAAACTGGAGAAGTTCAAGAGACAGGAAGAAAGCTAATGTCGTGTCAACATGTAAACATTTAAAAAGGGTAAACAGGATGACCTGGGTATAGGCTGGCCAGTCTGACATTGATCCCAGGCAAGAAAATGAAGTGGCTGATATGGGGCATGATTAATAAAGAATTATGGGAGGATAGTATAGTTAATGGTAATCAACACATCTATTTATGGAAAAATAGATCATGTCAAAGAAACCTGACATCTTTTTTCATGAGACTAGATATTTGGTCGATAAAGGTAATAGTATTGATGTAACATGGGGCTGCATAGCTTTTTTTGATTTAAAAACTAGAAAAGTAAAATTAACATGTTAAATATTAAATGGATTGAAAATGGGAAGAGCTAAAATACAATTGTGAACAGAGAATCATCATCAAACAGGTGTGTTTTTGGTCCTATGCTCTTTAACATATATATTAATGAGCTGGAAGAAAACATGAAATCATTCCTGTTAAAGTTTGAACATGACACACAAACTTTCAAGCTATGTCTATACTGCGCTCGTTTTGTGCAAGAAATATGCAAATGAGGCTAAGCGTGGAATATTGCCGAGCCTCATTTGCATAATTAATGAGCGCCCGCTTTTTGCGCATGAGGCTTTTGCACAAAAAGGAGCCATCTACATGAATTGGTTTTGTTGCTAAAAAGTGAACACACTTTTCCATGTTTGTTTCCAGACATGAATTGGTTTTGTTGCTAAAAAGTGAATACACTTTTCCATGTTTGTTTCTAGAGTTGTTGTCATTCCAAAAGCCGTGCAAACTGATTTACATACTGGAGAAGATGATTAAAAGATACAGGTTTTGAAACAGCTAATTTGCTCCAATGTAGTTTCTACAACAATCTCTTTTAGCAGGTTGTCATTGCAGATTAAGGATTTTTTGTGTCACCAAAGCCTTTAGTTCACTAAGATGGAACACATTTTTTCTCATGGGAACCACCTGTGCTCCAGTATTGTCAAGTTTAAAACGGATTAGTGAGCTGTGACTGGATGAAGATTATCTCAGAGAGAAAGACAAAAATAAATAGAAGAGAGCAGTGCCAGAGTAACTGAAGCCTCTCAGGGACAAGACTCCTGTGGAAACTTCCAGCATTGTAACACACTGAAGGGACTTGAAGCAAGTAAAAAAGTCACTTTTTAGGAAGAGGGTTATAATATTTTGTTTAATATTTAGCAATAGTTTGTGTTCTGGGGAAAGGAGGCGACAAGACTGGTGGAAGACTTAATATTTTTGTGTTACACTTGACTTCAGAGTTCATTACACATTTACAGGCCAGAGTGCCTTGTACAAAGATGTACAGGGTAAATATATAGCCAGATAATATAGAGCTGTAAACAGAGACTCCTGCCAGCATGTTGTTGACAATGTTGTTTTGGGGCTCAGGAAGTCTATTTCCATAGGTTGCCCAGGCAGGCGAAGGTGGGAGTGGATTGAGTGTGGGTCAGTGCAAGTCCTGAAGGATTGAAGTATGTCAGATTCCTTTTGAAATTTGCCTCAGGAGGGTTAGGAAGCCAAACTTTGAGTCAATTGAGGTAGTGGTTGTAGAGCTATAAGCCCTGGAAAAAAAGCCATTTTTCAAAAAGTTTCTAGATGGGGATTTTTTGTGTAGAGCTAGAGATCAAATTATTGCTGGTATATGGGTCAAAATGTTTTCAATCTGTCAAGCTTTACCCAAGGTAGTGCTTGGAATTCACTAAATCTTTTGGGGAACCAAAACTGAGATGCGTATTTAAGAATATGTTCACTTCTTCACTTGCATTGATGTATAGTGTGGAAGGGTTGCATATAATATTGCACCAATAAAAAAACAATAAAAAAACAAAAACAAACGAGAAGCTTTTTAGACAGTTGCTTTTTGGTTACATGGATGGTTTTGAGGACTTGTGCCAAAGCCATTTTCCTTTTGTGAACACCCTGTCACTGATGTTTCTAGTTGGAACCTTTGTAACTGTGCAATAAAGATCTTGCTACAAGTTGTCTGTTATAATGGTAGAATTTACGTTATGAGAAGGTTTATTGTGAACACAATAGAATACTCAGCAGGTGGTTTAACCAGAATTTTTGTTACCTTGAATGGAGAGGAGCTGGAGACAGACCTTGTGTGAGGTGGGAGGACAGAGTGGGAAGAGGAGCAGGGAAAGGAGTTCTGGAAGGGGTGGGAAATGAGGATGGGCAGTATACAAACATTGAATTGGTTGTTTGAGGAAATCTGTATTTAGTAGTACAGTACACTTCCAATAATCTGGCATCTTTATGACTCAGGGAGTGCTGGATTATCAGATATGCCGGACTATCAGACGGGGGGGCTATGAGGGGTCTAGGGTGGGGTGGGAGGAATGGGCGGGGGGCTCTGCAGGAAGATAAAATGATAATGACTGAAGATGGATTTTAAAAAAAAGCCTCAGAGGGGTAGCTGCGTTAATCTGTAACTTTAAAAACAATGCATAGTCTTGTGTTACCTTAGAGGCTAACAAAAGCATACATATATCCAGTAAAAATCCAGTGGTCCGGCATCCACTGGTCCGGAACCATCTGGAACCCAGAAGTGCTTCGGGCAGCTGGAAAATTGGAGCTTGCTCTGCCCCGGCCGCCCCCAGCCAGCCGCTGCTGAAACTGACCAGCGGCTCACTCGGGGAAGCCCGGGGCAAAGCAGCTCCAACTGTCTGGCTTCCTGGAGCACTTCCAGGTTCCAGGCGGTGCCGGACTAGCAGGAGTGCTGGACCACTGGATGCCGAACAACTGGAGTTTTACTGTAGTATCTTAGGGGAGTAGACTCAAATGTCTGCTCCCTGATCTCAGTGCAGATTAATGTGCTGTTTCCAAAGATGCACAGTGTGAAGATTTGAAATGTTCAGTGCAGTACCTTAAGCACTGATAGAAAATGAATGTGTGCAACCAGGGCAAGGCTGTAACAAGGGTAGGGCAAGTGAGGTGCTCGCCCCAGGGGCATCATAACCAGGGCCCAAAGGCGCAATAAGTAAAAGCAATAAACTGAAAAAGTAAAGAGCATGACTTGTGCTAACCTAAGGAGCGGTATGTGTGCATAATTAATATTTTGCCCCAGGCACAAAATTAGGGATGTTAAATATCGGTTAATTGGATAGTCGAGTAACTTCATGAATTCTTATTGGTTAGTCGACTATTCTATAGTTCCAAGGATGGGGCCGGCACCCACTGTATCAGAGGCAGCAGAGCAGGGTGTCAGGTGGGAGCTGGTCCGTGAGGGGAGCCAGTTTAAAAAACAGCTACCCTTGTAGACCAGCTGCCTGTTGCCCAGTGCTGCTGCTTCTGATAAAGAAGCAGCAACTTGGGGTGGCAGCAACCCCTGACTGGGGGGGGGCGACTGAGCTCCTGGACCCAACACGAGCCAGAATTGAGGTGGCCTACCTGCCCACCTGTCTCCTAATACACTTTAAATGCAGAGCCGCAGCAGGGTTAGGTTCTGGACCCAGCACTGAGCGAGGTTTCTGGCTAGCCTAATAAAAAATTACTGGCGGGGGGAGGAGGGGAGAGGGGTAGTCTATAGCATTAACCTACTAGCTTTTGCTTATCTGATAATCGGCTATGCTATTACATCCCTAACAAAAAATAGCTAGTTACAGCCCTGAACCAGGGTTACTAGTGTGTGGAGATTACAATAGTTTGCGGGAGAGCAATGAGTAAACCAGGACATGGGGATTGCTGACTGCAGTCTGATTTGGCTAGAAAGAGCTGGCTTGAATTGGCATACTATTTTGCCCACTTGTCACTTAAAAGTGGGCAAACCACTGCATTCTAGTGAAGGTGGCATGGGTAATGTCTCTCCCCTTCTGTCTGCATGGTCCTTTAAATGGTGTTAGCTAGGATTTGGTAGGTGAAAGTGAATGGCTTGTAAAAGGAGGTAAAGTGCTTGCACATTTCAGTAAGTGTGTGTTTGCCAGAATAAAGATATTTTTATGAATTGGGCATATTGGGGCATTGCTTGAAGAGGGCAGCATTATGGTTATATGGGCAATCTTTATACTGCATTTCTTGGATTTCAGTTTAAGTTTTGCTCAGATGAAAATTCTGAAAGGGGCTGACATACCAGCAAGTACCCTTATTTCTGAGCTAACATAGCTTTTTTTACATCAGATTTACTATAGGGTTCACCTTATGTTGTGCTCTTCATCATTCTCTCTGTAAAGTACTGTCACTCTTGTCTTCCCAGTTATGTTTTTCCAGAGAGAAATCAACAGCTCTCCTCTTGTTAGTAGTCTAATTCTTTAGAGGTCTAACTTCCCTTCCTATTCCTCTTCACTGCTTTTCATGCAGTAAGCGAAAGACCCAGAATAGTTGACCAATATGATAATATGGCCTTAGTGATAAAATAAATACAACACGAAAAGTTCTCACAACGCAGTCACCTCCCTCTTACTCTAAAGTGCCTTTTTAAATATATTGCAGATATCTTTTGTATCTACAAATAAAAAGAGACATTTTCCATGGCCGTTTGCTGTGCTCTTTTTCTGATGCTGCATACCTGGGTGCCTGTATTGTCCAAGGTAAGTGCAATCCAAAGCACATTGTGAATTATTTCAGCACCTTGAGAGTGATATTCAATATAAACAGCAAAGGGTTTTGAAATATATTTCTGAATTCAGTTTTAAAAATAATGAGCCACTTGTCCTTATGCCATTCTCTCTAAACTTTAACCTAAAAAATAGAGAGGGTTCAAGTAGTTCAGAAGTGTAAGAAACCTGCAACAAATTAGGGTGTTATTTTAAAAAACAAAAACAAATAAATGCTGTTAATTTAAAAATGAGAATACACAGAATTTTGTGAGTGGCACTCAGCTCTTAATTATAAAAGAAATCAAGATTCTATTCCTTTACATTTCTAAATATAAATGTATTCAATTCCATATGAACTTAACAAAAGTTAATTTAATTTAATTGGTTCAGTGGCAGTGCTTCAGATTGCATGTTTTCTAGCTTGAAACAGAGAAGAAATGAATGATAGTGGGACCCCAAGGCAGAGAGAGACCAGTACATTACCATGGTGATTGTCTCAGTCTCTAGGTGATAGGAATACCATTCTCATTTCCTTTTTTCCCTGGTAGCCAATCAAAGGCTGGTAGGTCAGTTATAGAAAAGCTAACAAGCACTATAAGATGTATGTAGTCCATTAACTGAGGAATGGGCATGAGGGAATCAGAGTATGACAATGAGATGCCAGAAACATTTCTGACACCAACTTACAAATGCTGAAATAGGCTCTCCCTGCTGTTGTGTACTGACCTGACTTTTAGGGCCAAATTTTGAGAAAAGAGATGCATATGCTAAACTTCAATAAGTAACTGGATCCTTGTATTTGGATCTTACCAAATTCATGGCCATGAAGAATGTGTCATGGACCATGAAATCCGGTCTTGCCCTGTGAAATCTGGTCTTTTGTGTGTCTTTTACTCTATACTATATAGATTTTTACAGGGGATACCAGTATTTCTCAAATTGGGGGTCCTGAGCCAAACAAGAGTTGAAGTGGGAGTCGTAAGGTTATTTTAGAAGGGTTGTGGTATTGCCAGTCTTACTTCTGTGCTGCTGCCTTCAGGACTGTGTAGATGGACATTGGCGGCTGCAGACTGAGAGCAGAGCTCTGCAGAAAGCAACACAGACATGAGGATGGCAGTATTATACTATGCCATCCTTACTGCTGCTGGCTGTGGCTCTGCCTTCAGATTTGGGCTCTCAACCAGCAGCCACCGTTCTCCTGTTGCCCGGCTCTGAAGGAAGTCCCACCAGCTACGCAGAAGTAAAGGTAGCAGTACTGCAGCTCCCCCTACAATAACATTGTGACCCTCCAAATCTTTTTTAGGTCAGGATCCTTACAGTTACAACAACTGTGAAATAACAGAAATAATGAAATTTATAGTTTTTAAAATCCTATGTCTGTGAAATTGACCAAAACAGACCATGAATTTGGCAGGGCCCTAATTATATCGGTGCAGGCGATTATAAGATTGCACACAGAAATTGCTAGTTAGATGTCTATCTGGAAATTTGTCTGCCCAGAAACCCAGTGTGTAGGCATACATTGTGCTATAGTAATTTGGAAGCAATGATGTATTGGAAGCACACTTTGAATTTTTACCATCAGATTGGGGGATTCTGTTAATTACATTTGCTCTAGTTACAGTTGCTCTAGTGCCTGTTGCATTTGCTAAGAAGTGGCCAAAGACCAGAAAAGGGATTAGCTTGTATGGGAAAAGGGTAGTACTCTGATGAAAATGCCAATTTGTACCTACATGAATGAGTATCAAAAGAAAAAAATGGCTCAATTGATTTATTTTTTGAAATATTCTTTTTTAAACCTCTGTAATGTTTTTAGAAGGGACACTGCTTTCTCTGATCACTTGTGATATTCTCAATAAATACCTCAATTTGTTTGCTGTTTTGTTTATTACTTGCCTTAGGATTTTTAATTATGTCCTTGACAATGATTTCTGAGTGATTACCATGATCAGTAGGAATGTATAAAGGTTTGGAAACCAGAGTGTATTTTGCCTGCAGATTTGTGCATGAAGATTTTGCTGCATTAGAAAGCAGTATCCCTCATGTACAAAGCCAGAATAAGCCCCAGAGCTTGATAGCAAAGGCCAGCAATTTTAAAAATATGTGCCTAATGCCAGGGCCGTCCTAAGAATTTAGGGGGCCCAATGCAGTATTGTTAAACTGTTGTTCATATCCTCCACTGACGTTGGTCCCGTCAGTACCATTGACCCCTGTGTGTCAAGGGGGCACAGCTGCCACCTCTGTCAACAGACTCCCGCTGCACTCCTTATCGCTGACACACACAACTCTGTCTTTGTGTCTGGACTCCCCTGCTGCCCTCCTCTTTCCCGCCTGCCCCCTGAACTCCCTGCAGGGTTTCCTTTTGAAATGTACATGAGTAACTCATTCTGTTGCTTTGTTTTGTGTTTTAACCTGTCCAGCTGAGCTTGGTGATTATGATCCTGATGAACACCCAGAGAATTACATCAGCAACTTCAAGATTTTTCCGAAGCAATCACAGAAGCTGGAAAGGAAAATTGCGGAAGTACATCAAAATGAATTCAGGTAATTTGGAGTTCTGCTTGTGAAAGAGGCAGTTGTAAATTATTGTGTGTCTGTCTGTCTAGGTTTGAGGGACCTACATGTCACTTACGGTTTGGGGCCTGTTCTAATCTTCTATTGCTAACCAAGCCCAACTTGAAGCCAACTTTCTCCTGCTTTTAATAGGAATTGACATGATTTGGGGGTAGCTCCTAACCAAAGAAAATTGTTTCTGGTTATTTCTTTTTAAATTCTGAAGGATTTATCAATATTGAAAACTTTAATATAGGTGTAAAGTACAGGGAATTAATTTCACAGTTGTCTAAATGAGTATTCTGTTTAATATTGGGGATAGGAGGACAGAACATTAATAACAAATAGAGAACAGTAAAAGTTTAGTGTGTGTGTGTGTGTGTGTGTGTGTGTGTGTGTGTGTGTGTGTGCGCGCGCGCATGACTAGTCCCCACTGCAAAAATAAAACTTTAAAATTAAAACATTTTACTGTTGATGACTTGTGCCATCTTCAGTGTGTGAATTCTAAAAGTCTGAGGACACAGGCTTGCAGCAGTTTTTTTTCAGTGTGTCTCGAAGCTCTTCAACTCCACCCTAATTCACTCTTCCCATCTTTGGAACAGGAGGGGGTTCTGGGGTTCCTCTCCAGATGGTGACAAATCTGTGGACCTAGCTGCTGTTCACAGTGACTTTTGCGGGGCTGGAGGATACACACGAGAGGCATGCCTGGTACTCATGGTGGCAGCAGGTTTTGGTGGAGGCTGCACCTGGTTCTCATGGGGGGGCACCCAGCGGGAGGCATGGTGTGTTCACTGTGGTGTGACTGAGGTGGGGTGGGTGAGTAAAAGGGTGCTGGTCGGGGTAAGGCCTGGGGCCAGGATGTGGCTAGTACTTACAGGGAACAGCCTTCCTCTCCTGCAGCCTGTCACTGCAGTGTTTGGGGGCCTCAGCAGTCTCCCTTCCTGGTTTGCTCCTCCACTGGACAGCTGTAGCAGCAGCCACCAACCAGCATTTACCCTCCCCGGCACAGGTCTGGTGAGGAGACCAGCAGGGAATCTAAGAATGGCCACAGCACCAGGTCCGGGAAATTCAAGCAGGTACAAAATCTGGGTAGAAATTAGGAAAATCTGAATATTGGGTTTTTTAAAACCTGGTTGTTTTTCAGAGGTTTTCTGTAAAAATGACGGGCTCTAAATATGTATTAGGGTATATGTTCTCTCCCATATTTACCACATGCATTCTGTTTATGCATGCTGTGTCAGCTTAAAAATATTAACAGGAATGCAAAAGCCACTATAAATCACAACTGATTGCTGCATGTGTGCTGCCAACTGGCACCATGGTATGTGGCTTGCATGTAATGCATAGCTCTGATAAGTGGACATGGCTTACACTCTGATGGTTGCTGCTGCTGATTTACAGAGTCATATTTCACACAAATTTGATTTTTGAATGGAAACTTGGTAGCCATGCAGAACTTTTTACATTGAGGCTTATGAAACTTACTCACTTTTATTGTGCGTTAAATCACACACAGTGTCCTCTTTTTTATATATATGTGTCTGGAACTGTTAACTTGTTGCAGTGCTACAATTGTTTTGCATGTGTGTGCACACAGAGCAATAACCAGGATGGTGATTTTGGTATAAATGTATTGAAATTACCTTTTTGGGAAGCTGAGGGGAATTAGATTCAGAGCCCTTCACTCACTTCTTTTCTGATCTTTAAATATGGGACCACAGTAGAAAAAAATTAAAATACTTCTCTTAAACTAATAAAATCTAAATATGATCTTGAGATGAAGCATCTTGTTTCCTTGGAGAACAAGCACTGCTTTTGCAAGTATTACCCTCTCAGTACTTCCTCAGAATGAAGAGAGACAGGGTGGATGAGGTAATATATTTTATTGGGTCAACTTCTGTTGGTGAGAGAGACAAGCTTTTGAGCTGACATCAATTAGCTCTACTCATTTTCGTAGTGTATTTTTAATATTAAATAATTACTGTATTTACCTAGGTAGATAGATGGTCTCTTTCTATGCAAAAATATCACTTTTACTATAAAGTGGTTAGGGAATGGAAAACACACAAAAATATGAACAACTTTGAAACGGAAAGTTTCCAGATTTTATCATGAAAGCTTTAAATATTGTCTGTGTGATAAATGGTGTAAGCATATCAAGTGTTTTGTTGCACCTTGAATATCACATCTGTGAAAAATCACAGCAATAGCTGGCATGTTCAGAGCATCTAGTAAAAATGTTTTATACAATAAAAGCTGTGTTATCCAGCACTTGATCACCTGAAAAGCATATACAATAAAAGCTGTGTTATCCAGCACTTTATCACCTGGAAAGCTCAGTTAACTGGCATTTCTGATATCTCCCAACCCAAATCTTTAATCTAGTAACCAGGACTAGCCTACTGCTCAGGAGGTGATGCTGTTACAGATTCCGCACTCTACTTCTAGGCAAAAGAGGCAGAAGACAAGTAAGCCAGCTGATGTCTGAGATTAATTCAGAAAAGCAACTTCCAGTGTGTGCTATAGGGTGATTACAGATTCAGCCCAGTATTCTACACTCTCTACATCTACAATGATCATTAATGTTGATAATGATGACTCTGAGGTACTTCAAGGTTCTGAAATACCTTCTGGATCTTAAAACAAAGATTAAATTATGTTCAGTATAAGTTTTGTGTGAGAAATGTGGGTGAATGCCATCCTCTGCCCATAGTGATATGTAGTGTCAGAAGGAAACCTACTGTATAGAACATTTTACCTGCATATACTTAAGAGCTTCACTGGATTGGTGAGTACCTGTATGCTATTTTGTACTTTATTCATTGTATTGTATTTTGTATTTTATTCATTTTATTCTAATTTTTTGAAAATTGGTATAACATTGGTAAGTATAATTCTTAGTTAACTGGCATTTTTGACTAATTGGCATGCTAAAACGCAGTACAGGCAGTCCCCGGGTTACGTACAAGATAGAGACTGTAGGTTTGTTCTTAAGTTGAATTTGTGTGTAAGTCGGAGCTGGTACATATTGTAGGGGAAACTCTAGCCAAACATTTCTCCAGAGCTCAGTTTTATTCTCCCACACCTCACTTCCCTCAGTCCTTCATTCTCAAGCTGAGGTGTCTGCTGAGAAAAGCCGCTCCACGTCTCCCTGGTCTGCGGGGGTGAAGCAGCTAGTGCGGGGTTGCCTCACCCCGTTTGTAAGTAGGGATCTGATGTAAGTCGGATCCATGTAACCCGGGGTCTGCCTGTATAACAAAGCTATTACTGTACCTATGTGCACACAACCCTATCAGCGTTATCATGTTTCTCTGCTTTTTCCCCCTTCCCAAGACCTATATATTTTAGTTTTGTATCTCCTTTTTTTGAGACCATACCTTAAATGGCATAGAGATAATCGCTCTTGAGTGAAGCATTCTCCAGCCACTTTGAACTAAAACAATTTCCAAAAACAAGTATCACGTTATTGGTTCCCTCCCAGACAGAGAACATTTACAATACAAGAACAGAGCCCATATTCATAATTTCACATTCAAACATCACAGAAGCACGAGTATCATGCATATAATCAATAGAGCATACGCTTTTGTTTGACACCTCACATGGCCCACTTTGTACAGAATTTGGGGCATTCCCCTACCATGGGCGCAGCAGTGTTCTGTCTGCTGTCTTTAAAATCCAATAATGTGACAACAAGCAAAAAAACACTCTCTATTTTCAATAAATATCTATGTGATTTTAAAACTGCTATTCCAAAGGAAGCCTTTTGGATTCCCAAAGGCTCGGGACTTTCATTGATTTCAGTGACAAAATGTGTGTGTTGTAGAGAGAAGAATTTGGTCAAAACTCTTCTGCAAGACTAAACTACTCCCCTTAAACAGATTGCAGAAAAATAACAAGGGAAGGAGGATTGATGTATTCAGTGCATCTTGTACTCAAGCGTTCTTTTATGAACTTGTTTCCCAGAAATTTTTGCATTTGTTTTAGGCCCCTGACTTCACTGGGACCTCAGCTTGGCCTCCATTTATACATGGACAATCATGTGTAGGTGTACACATTGCATGCATTTTCTCAGCACTAAAGCCTATGTAACCACCAACAGGTGAAACAGAACCTGGAACCTCGGGAGCTTAGTGTAGGAACCTATACAGTTTGAACTACAAACCCAGCTGGCTCTCAGTTTAGTCTGTAGAGCTCACTCATTCTAATCTCTCACTGGAAGTGGTCTAAGTGCTACTACATGGGATAGTGAACCACACCCACTAGGTGAGTGGTTCACACCTGCACACAAAGGTGATAGATTCCATTGGTGTGCACACAAATAGAATGTGTGTGCTCAAAACACACCATTTGCGTGTTTGTCTGTCTGATCTAATCTATCCATTCATGTTCCATGCTGGAAAAATACATGCAAAGGAGAGTGTGTGTGCACAAGTGGAGACTAGGGTCAAGATAACAAGTCCTTACTTGTGTTGCATGTAGTGGACATAGTTTTATAATAGACTATGTTGAAACTTCAAAGTAAATTGGGAAAGAGCAACATTCTTTTTGTGTGATGTCATCTCATTCTTGATAATGGCAGAATGAAAACTTATATTCTGTGAACAACAGAAAAGCCATTAAACTTGCAGGTTGCATCTCCCTAAACCAGTACTCTCTCATCTGGCAACATCCGTGGTCCTGCAGGATCGCAGATGTTGCTGAATAGGAGAGCTCCGGGACAGGACTCCCAGCAGCTGAGAGCCCCGCCAAAGATGAGGCTGGTGGTAGCGGGGCTAGGCGCTCAGCAAAACCACCACGGTAGCGGGACCATGGTAGCGAGCTCCTTCAGCCCCGCTGCTGGCCGGGTAACAAGGCTGACCTGGCCATGCTGCCAGAGCTGCTACCCCAGCCACCTTGCCAGCACAGCATCCTGTAGCCCTGGCTCTACTGCCATGGCACCAGCCCTGCTGCTGGGAGGCATGTGGCTCTGATTGGGCTGCCAGCCTACC